TTAGAATCTGACTTTTAAATACATTTAAAAACAGCGACTTTTCTATGTTCCTTCCTTTTGCTGTGTGTATTGCATTGTGGGAAAATAGTTTCCATTAAGTCATACTGGAAAATAAAAGAGAGGCATTAAAAAAGTGAGTTTTGTTTTGTCACTTTTCTGCTTAAGCCTCCTTAAAATCAATGTGTAGATTGCAAAGTACCGCAGCTGATTTACCCCGGCTCGTTAGTGCTATTTGATTAATTACATTCACCTGGTGTTCCTGGTGCCAATCTGAACTGCATTAAACGTCTCTCTGCCTCCTCCATACCTCCTCAAATGATGTGAGTATAAAAGAACTTGAAGCTCTTTGGCGTCTTCTTCCTGTCTCCATTCGTCTTCATCATTATTTCACATTACCCTCCTCTAAGACTCTTCTTGCTTCCTTCCTCTGCTTCTCTTTTACACTCGTCTGTGTCGCTCCATCCTCCCCACATATCTCTCTGTCTGCCTCGTGTCTTTATCAGTCTCTCTCTGACTTTATCGTGTGAAACATCGCTTTCTCCATCCCTTTAAGTATCTCAGTCTGTAACGCCGCTCCTCTATCTCCCCTCTGCCTCTTATCTCTCCATCTCTGTCTCTCTAAACATTTCTCTTTGCCACCGTCTCTTGGTCTCCTCACATGTCTGTATCATGTTTTATGTTGTTGCTTTTTACTCTTTGTCAGCTCACCTGACTCTTTATTGCTTATAACCCTTTCTCTTGCTTTCTTTTCCATTTCTAGCTGGCTTTTCTTTGGTATGTAATGGCCATCTAGCAGGACAGCATGCTGATGCGCTGCCTGTCAGTGTGTGTATGTGTGTGTTCAGGGGTCAGGGTTGCGGCTCTGCTTAGCTCACTGGTTGGCTGAACCCATCTGTCAATCAAAATTGCTGACCTGTGATCCCGGTAGCAGCCAGTCGCATCGCCTCTTTGACAGAATTAACAAAATCTTGTGTGTTGCTCATTGGCCCAATTGAATAACACGTTTTTAAACTGCTGATTGACTGCTGATGACACACACACACACACACACACACACACACACACACACACACACGCACACGCACACGCACACGCGCATATGCACACACAGGTACCTGCGATGGATGAGGGTTAGCATCGCTATTTATTGCCCTCCGTTTGCAGAGCAGGAAGACATTGTCTGCCTTCGTATATGATTCTTGTTTTGATAGATTTTTGATTGAGTTCTTCTCTGTGTTTGTGTCTTTGTATCTTAATATGCCGCCAAGGCTTTTGTTTTCATCACACTGTTTTCTACAGTTTATGGTGAATTATTTGCTTCGCAGGACGTCTATTCTGCGTCATCTCTCCCTACAGCACCTCACATCTGTTGTCATTTCATTACAGACATTTATTTGACACCGTGTGCCTGCCAAGACACTCTGGATAAATCACACTGTTATTTTCTCTGCTTTCACACACCTGAGTGGAAGGAAAAAAGGCAGAAAATTGTCTTTTTTTCTGCATCCAGCAGTTGTGTTTATTGGTGTAAGCAGCGGCACAGCGAGTCTGTTTATCACTAAGCATATTTTCAGTCAAAGGGAATCAGGTTTCAGTGAGCTGGTGTGTACTCAGTGGGTACAGTACATTCATACAGTCGCCCCCAGCGATCAAACAGAAGCTGCGTTTGAATGGCTCTTTCTTCCCTCGCAAAGCCACTGTGACAGGTTGCTACTTGTTAGACCTCCAGTCTGCCTGCTGTCTCTGTTCCTATTGACTGACTGACTGGCGGTATTTGGTTTGTCTCCATGACTGTCTCCACTGCTTGCTTACCTGATTGCCTACACGCACGCATATCTGTCAGTATCTGCTCTTAAATACACTATAGTAGTGTATATATATGTAACTATAAGTAGGTTATAGGTAGAAAAAGAGCTTGTCATAGCAGCAATATCAGAAGTAAACCTTTCCAGTTGCTGCAACCAACATATATTTACATCTTCATTTAACTGCATATTATTTTCCTGATTATGTCTAAAACATTTCAGAATATAGTAAAACAGTGAATCAAGTCCAAGGTAATGTCTTTCTGTTTTTTCAGTCTTAAACCCAAACATATTAAGTTTTATCACGAAATACTGTATAACTGCCTTTCTGCCATAGTTGCATGAAAAATTACTTTGAATGATTATCAATAATATATTGGAAAAAGGTCTATAGAATGCAGCGTTGTTAATGTTATAAAAGACAGCTTGCTTTTTGTGCTCTGACATGGCAAAGAGTCTGCTTAAAAAAAGTATATTGTGATCCATTAAAAAGGATATGGATCCAGTGAATTCAGTGGTCACAAATTATAGCACAACTTCTTGAATTTTAAAATCTTGAGAAAATAAAGAATCACATAGCATTACACAAAATGCTTATTTTTACCCAACCAGGCAGTCACGGCGGATATAAAGCAAAGAGAGGCAGCAGACGTAACATTGGTGTATTTGAGCTTTCTTGTTCCCGCCGCTTGCTATCTGTGTCCCAGGTGTATTTTTACATATAAAATCTCTGCAACTCAAACTGGCAATTTTAAAGACAACAGAAACTGATGTAGTTTATTATTAATTCATTAGCTTTCCGTGCTCTCTAACAAGGTTATTTATAGCTCCAAGAGGATTTTTTTGGAGGCAAGAAAACCTAAAGAGCTGTTCTCCATTACCCCTTTTCTGTCTTTATCGCGGCCTACCTCTATCTATTCCTCCGTCTATCTGTCACTGTCTGCCCCTATCTGTCTGTCTGCCTGTCATTGTGTTTGTCTGAGAAAGGAACCCACCCACGGTTGTCTGGTCTCGATCTCCATGGCGACCTAATCCTCGCCAATCCCAGAACAGTAGTGTTCCAGTTGAGACCCACTGTGTGTTACAGCAGCCTGTCATCACTGATCACAGGATAGAGTCGCTTCTGTTTTGTCAGAGTGCCTTTGATCCACAACTAATGACGTGTGTGTGTGTGTGTGTGTGTGTGTGTGTGTGTGTGTGTGTGTGTGTGTGTGTGTGTTGTGTGTGGTGTGTGTGTGTGTGTGTGTGTGTGTGTGTGTGTGTGTGTGTGTGTGTGTGTGTGTGTGTGTGTGTGTGTGTGTGTGTGCGCGCATTTGTTTGTCTTTATACATTAACAAATCCCCACATACTATACAGACGACTTGAAATCATATGCTGCATTCATTTGAGTACTGTGTGTGTGTGTGTGTGTGTGTGTGTGTGTGTGTGTGTGTGTGTGTGTGTGTGTGTGTGTGTGTGTGTGTGTGTGTGTGTGTGTGTGTGTGTGTGTGTGTGTGTGTGTGTGTGTGTGTGTGTGTGTGTGTGTGTGTGTGTGTGTGTGTGTGTGTGTGTGTGTGTGTGTGTGTGTGTGTGTGTGTGTGTGTGTGTTGCCCTGGCCTGCGTAATGAATCCAGTAGTGCTGTTGGCATGAGCGGGGCCATGCTATTAACCTCTCTGCCAGCTAGACTGATCTCACCCTGTCTGTCTGTCTCATCGGCCTAATGACACTCTCACACTCTGAGCACGCACACACACACCCCCCCCACACACACACAGACCTGTCCTTTCTAATCAAATTTTCATTGAAGTGAAAAGTATTCTACATTGTCCAATCATCTCTATTCAGAGTGTCAAAAAGCTTCTGCCAGCATGGAGAGAAGATTTCTTTCTCAACACCCACTCAAAGGAAGTTACTCTTCAAAACTATTTCTAACGTTTTAATCTCCACTTGCCCTCTACAGCCAGAGGATCACATTTCACTGTATTTTACACCAGCCACCACTTCAACAGCGCTTTTATGACTGACCGCGGTTTTCTCTCTTTGCAGTCACAGTAAAACTACGATATGGATGTGTGCTCTTTACTTTTGATCTGACAAGACCGTAGTGTAGTAGTTCCGTAGTGTAGTAGTTCCGTCACGTTGTAGTCCCCTAATATCTAATATCATCATTTGAGATATAAATCTCTCGAGACTTTTACTCTGCCAAGCCTGCCAAAAGAAGATTTAAAGAGACATCTCAAAGCTTGGGACTCGGAGCAAAATCTGGAGGTGGACGATGAGCCTCACACACGCCCCAAATTACAGCCTGTGTGCTTGTTTAATGAGCTTGTGGTAGCACTTTTGGTCGTCAATAAATAAAAAAAGCAATATGACATGTTGGGAGAAAAAATATGACATGAAAAATGCTGTCAAATTGCTTCACCAGTAGTCGTAAATGTTGTTTAATAGTCTGTACTTAGCTTGTGTGTGTGTGTGTGTGTGTGTGTGTGTGTGTGTGTGTGTGTGTGTGTGTGTGGGCATGCTTGTCTGTGTGAATGAGAAAACCCCAGCCTCCGTAGGAATCCTTAGAGGAGTGAGGAGCACCTGGCACTGTCTGTAGTCATAACAAACGACAAGAGGGGATTTAGACTACATTTGCATCGGTGCCAGCTTGTTACACGCACTCCGTGTTCACATTCATTCTCATAACCGGCGTGTAATGTAGCGTTGGGACTTGGCGTGGCTTCGCCCTCGCGAGTTAGTTCTTTAACTGCACTGCCTGGAATGCCCCGGCTCATCCATGTGTCCCTCATTAGGGTTACGGCCTGGGACGGGCCAGCGGTAATATCCAACACACCTCATCCCATCTGTGAGCAGAGATAATGTAGAGGAGGATGCATTTGGCAAGCCAGAGGACATACAGTTAGAGGTTTCTGCAGTGAGAGTTCATTAGGCGGAGGACTGCTGGAAGACGGGTGTCAGCCTGGTCTGAGCTAAATTAAAAGTGTTAGGTCAGGGACAATCAGATGGATTGGGGAATGGATAGTGGCCAGTTTGTGTTGGCCAGTGTGAAAATGTCCAAATATAATTTCAGATTATGCTTTTGACTATTACAGTACACCATCGAACTTGCTGTGATGCCTACTAATGTTACTTTTTTGAAGGGAACGTTTTCTTCCACCTTAGCCCTGACCTTAATATCTCCCCTCTAACTGTCGTGTGATTGGTTGTTTCAGCAGGTGGCGCCATATGGACAGCAGGGGATGGGGGGCTTCAGCCAGCAGCAACAGGCGGGGCAGCAGGGGAACCCTCCGTACTTCAGCCCCCCCCAGCAGACCCCGCCAGGACCCGCTCAAAGCCCCTACCTGCAGCCTCGACCACCCCCCCCAACAGGTACTAACACCAGCTCATCAGAGCCAGACACACACTGTGCTGTATGCCGGCTGTAAAATTGGCCAAGACATTCAGCTGTAATCAAGCCCAAAGGCCCCTTGACATGCCATGAGCAAAAAAATTGAAATGATTACCATAACTCAAGACAAATTATGAATAAATATATCAGATACACATTGATGCGCAGATGTCACTTATCACATCAGGAATAACATTTGAAACATCAGCCGAGAAAGGGATTTCATCCAAACATTTTTCCATTGGTTATATTTTAATATTTTAGTGGTGCTGAAATTGGAAAGATCATCTTTAGGGATAGAGTGTGTGGGTGGTCCAATATGTCTGGAGTATGTGGTCCCATTATTCCCTCACATTATTTATAAGAAGGTATTTTAGGTACATATCACTGTGTGCTTCTATATATTGTCATAACCTCTCAGCTCTCACACACACACACACACACACACACACACACACACACACACACACACACACACACACACACACACACCCACTCTCACACTTACAGAGAGAGGACTTAAAGTGGACCTATTATGCTATAGGCCTATTGGAAAAATATATTGTAGGGCCATACCTATACAAAACATTTCTGTGAAGTTTTTTGCTTAAAATACCAAACAGTTCACCCATTGTAGCCATGCCTCATACTGCTCATACCCCTCTTTTGAAGCCCTGTTAGAGAAACGCGGATGTTGGGTCCTTAGCTTGAAAAAAAAAAAAAGAGGAGGCGGAGCTAATGCCTGATCAGAATTCTACCGGAGATAAAGTTAAATTCTGCTGTGATAAAACGCCATCCTGTTCTAAACCACATCAAGGATTAGTTCTGAAACAGTATGGAGCTCAAATGCTTTTTCTCTTGCGGGTTTATCACAAAGTGAGTTCCTTTTTTTATTTCCTGCTTTTTAAACACATGTGCTCTACAGTACAGGTTAGCTCTGAGTGTTAGCGAGGCTTGCTAATGTAAACAAAGATGAGATTACGTCCAAAACACGTCAGGCATTGTTTCTGATAGCAATTTTCTGTGGGTCCGCTGCCGATTTGACGTCAGATCGGCAGCAAATCTGTATCAGCTCGTTGTACCCCTGTTTTTAAAAGATTTGGGTACGGAGGAAAAGAGAGAGGGTTTTATTTTCTGACGCTGCGTGAGTTCCCCGACGCACCGGGGACACATATTTATGTATAAAAGACATCACAAAGTGCATTTTGCATGATAGGTCCCCTTTAAATGCAATTCGAGTTCACAGTGATACAGTATAAACAAATATTGAAAATGTTCTATGCACACAAACGTGCCTGTGCAATCCCAGAATCCTCAGTACAACAAAAGGCCTGTTGCACAGCTTTGGATTGAGGCTCGTCCTGCCAAGTTTCAGTATGTTGTTCTGTTGAAGTTTTCCATCGGGGATCTGGGTTCAAGCAGTTGTTTTAGAGTTGAGTGAAGGCTGCCCATGTGTTTCCCATCCACTCTGCAGCCAGAGGGATCTATCCGCCTGCATGGAGTGACTCTGGTTAACAGCCTGTCCCGGGATAGGAACAGATTAGAACAAAACTGAGCAGGAAAAGAACAGTACGAGACGGGAGAGATTACAGATACAGAACTGGACAGGAAGGGAAAGATCAGACAGAACAGGGAGGGAGAGTCAAAGAGTAGACGATGCAGAACTGGAAAAGAGACATGAGTAGGGATGGGTATCGAGAACCGGTACTAAGTCAGTACCGGTACCCATTTGGACGGTATCGGTATACCGTTAAGCCGCTGGACAAACGGTGCTACTATCGGTATATGAATTACGCTACTTCCTTAGTTTAAACAATTCTGGTTGGTTGGGAACCCTCATCCCGTGGGACGTATCCGGTTTGAGTACCACTCTGAATGGCCACTGTGAATGCCACTCGTCATCTCTCCTAACAACGCTCTTATTATTGTGAGACTCCCGGGGGCAGACCATAGGGGCAGACGCAACATCTTGCAAGAAACAGCGTCTCAAGGCTTCTTAACATTTAACAACCTATTAATGATGCATACCCACTTAACGGGAAGAAACTCAGCTAACAGACGATATTAACCATGTTACCTACACGGAACAGAAGTCCAACACCAAGAGTCTAAATCAACACTTCGCGAAACGGGCTAACGGCTACTTTAGCACATAACTGGCAAAAGCAATCTTTTCTACGTCATGTTATCTGCACAAACGACATATCACATGAACGCTGAGATTCCACAGATTCCATAGGTATAAGTCTCATCACTGTACGACCACAACTCACAGAGCTAGCAGCCAGGAAAGAGCAAGAAAACAACTTCAATTTACGTAGCCATGATGAAAATGATGTCTTACCTTTGCTGTTTTGTGATCAAAAGCTGTGTTCAAGGGCATACAAACGGTTAATGCAATGTCTCTGTGTAACTTTAAAATGATTACTGATAATCCATCATTTCAATTGTAAATAATAAACACAATAAACGGATTATAATGGTTAGCCGACTGGAGCTTCCGGTTTAGGAGGTGCGCACGCTGCGTCTCGTTTTAACTGAATAATGGTCATGTTTACATGGATTTATGAACTGCCCCTAATTACCGCCCTTCCAGAGACACACTGTCAAACACACTCATACCTGCTTGGTATGACATTGAAAAAGTTACAATAAATAATAAATACAAATAAATTACAATAAAATTACTGTTGTTTAATCTCCACATCTTGTAATCATGTCTATAATTTTGAGCACCAAATTATTGAAAACTATCGATAAGAGTATCGAAAAATACCGGTATCGATAAGCAGTATCGGTATCGGTATCGATCAAATCCTAACGATACCCATCCCTAGACATGAGTGAGGTCAAAAGCAGTTCTGCAAGATCAGCATCAGAATGGTAGTTCATCAACAGTGGCGTGAGAAGTCAACGTCCAATCTTTGTTTGTTTTAAGTAAAAAAAATACAGTTTTTAATTTCAAAACTGAAGAGACTGTTAAATGGAAAGATACACCACCATCATCGCAAGCTACAACATAACTGCTGCTTACATCATTTAACAATCTAGAAGGTATGATTGGCACTTATTTTTCCTATAACACTTTCTTTACTTTGGAGGCAAGACTTTAAGTTGCATTAGAGTGATTGCTACATTTGCTGTATACGCATTTCTCTTTCTAGATTGTAAAGACATGTTCATGCAAAGACTTGCAAACTATTTATTTTTTTTTTTTTTAAAAGCATCCTTTATTTGGCCCAGATCCCTTTTTGGTTCACCAATGTGAGTGGAGTGTTTAAGCATCTGCACTAGTTGAGGCCATTAGGCAGTAGGGTAGTCGGATCTGTCAAGGTAGTTATACTGTGATTTACTGAGATGAAGTTAAACCTTTCTTTAGACAGTCTGGAATAATGAGTACATGAAGACAAATAGCTAAGCAAAAAGCCATTGAGAACACAAAAGCAGGTTGTCAAAAAATAAAATCGTTAGTCTTGGCATAGTAATTTTCACACTGAGTGAACATTTCAGCCACATGCCTTTTGTCTCTCACAAAAAAAAAAGCACTTACTCTTATTCCCCCCCTTTAACATGCTCACAGACACAGACAGAGCTGCCTACTGCACACACATTATTCCCTCTAACTACAGTAGGAAAGGCTGAGATCCATGGCCAGGTTGACATTTCGTGACAGTAATGGTGTGTTTTCATCATTGCTGATGATGCGGCACCAATTGACCCTCGCTGACATTTACACACCAGGTAGTTGTGCCCCAGCTCTCTGATTGGCCAAAGCCCTGTTTCACCTGTGCTGATAGGTCCCATATTGGTTTCCATGCCAACTGCTGTGGTGACCAAAGAGCTGCTCTCCCTTTGTTTTTCATTGTTAGGCATGCACGCCACTTTAAGGGAAAATGTTTCAATCAGCACACATGGTTGTTAACGCTGCATAAAAGCCACAATAACTTCAGCAGCCACTGCATCAATGTTGCTTCCCGCTGTCTTTACCTTTTAATCAAGAAATCCTTCCTATGTGTTTCAGCTATATAGCATTTTATATCCCGGCAACACAGCAGGTGATGTGCCGACACCTCCTGATTCCTGTCTATTAGCCATCAAACTAACTAACTAACCAACTAAATCCTCTCTTTGAATAATAAGCTTCCATACATTTTTATGTTTTGGCTTGGTGTTGGAATTGACTTTTAACAAGAAACCCTGCTATTAATGGAGAAGAACAGTCAATTTACTTTCAATGGAAATGTATAGTTAGTAATAGGCTATGTCTCTCTTGCAACGGTAGGTTTTTGGAATATCAGTGTATTTTGCACACCAATTCCATCTTTTGTGACCAGCTGAGAATCCAGTTCCAGCGACCACTCACTTTATTTCAGCAGTTTTTGTTCAAGTATTTATTGAAAATACACAATATTGATCATTAATACAAACATGACATTTTACACATTAGAAAAAGAAGCCTGTGTGCTGGCATTAAGACAACGTTAATTGTTCATCGATTTAGCAAGAGAGGAATTTAGAGAAGCAAATAAAACCAGAAAACAAAAGAACACATTTAAATAACAATGAAACCAGGACTCTGTTTTAGATTTTGGAACCAAGAGTAAACATGTTTGGAAATTAAACTTAAACACTGCTGTTGGCCAAGATTACAAGTAGGATATTTGGTGTCTTTTCAGCTCAGCAATGTTTTTCTTACATTTTTTTCTGTGTGTCTTTCCATCAGTTTTTGTGTGTGTGTGCCTGTGTCAGTGTGTACACAAATCAGCCGAGTGTGCTGCAGCAATTCTGAGCTGTGAAAAGGTCAAACGGCGACCTTTGTCTGTGATTCTGGGCTGAAATGAGACATGATGTGAGCCGCACGGAACGGATTACACACACACACATACACACAATTGCAAGCGCATGCCAGATTAGGATGTCATTGTGGTTTTGACCCCAGTTTTTTGACCCTGCATTACTCTGCTGAAAAGTTCTTTATTTTGCTCTTCCTGCGCTCTCCGCAGTTCCTTTCCCCCACTCCAC